GTTACAGAGGACGCCACTCATATAGATGGTCTGCTGTGGGAGAAAATACTTCTTAACACTGACTTATTAACACCGGCTTTGTCTGGTGGTTTGCTCAGATTTTGATCATTACATTGTTTATTCAAACCAAATTAGCTTTAAGCAACTAGATTGGTTGGAAAAACAACCAATTTATTCTTAGAATCTATCCAAACTTGATCCAGCTGAGAGCAGCTCTCCTCCAACCTCCCACATCTTGACTGAACACTGAGGCTGTTTAGATGCCTGTCAAAATTCTTCAAAAGTGCAAAATGATCATATTTGAACAATAACTTCCTCAGATGTATGTCCAAGAAGGATAAAATAAAATGCAAACATAACTGTTGCAGATATTATAACCATAGCAAATGTGTTGGATTATTTTTTGCAGTGCTTCTTAATGATATAACATGTTTTATTCAGAGTTTGTGTCCTCCCACCGTAAAACCAGGGCATTATGATCTTTAACCTGACTATGTCTAATTGCTAGTCAAGTGCAGCACAGCTCTGCCATATTACTTACTAAGAAAAAAAACCCCACTTAAATCAAAATTTCACCTCCAGAGTATGTGGCTGCCATTATAAGTTATGACACCTAATGAGTGGTGCCTGATTTCTATTAGAAGGGAGACTTTGAATACAATCATGGGTTGATATCATACCAAGTCTGAAGTGTTTAAATTGCTTCTCTTTTCATCCAGAAAACCAAGCTCACATTCACACCCCTCGGGATGGTACAGATCTCTCTTTGTAGATCTTTGTATTGAGAATTAAAGAAACCTGCTTATAACTCAAACTCAGCTGAAATATAACTTATTAAACAAAAGGTAATTAAGACAAATATGATTTCATTAGAAAAAATATGTTTCAGTATTTGCTAGCTCACTTTATATAAAAATCTAGTTCTTGGTACAACAATAGAAGCGGGTCACAATGGGTTTGGTTTACTTTAAGCTCAGTGTGCTTTCTTAATCCACCCACAGTATATCTTGTGTTAACAGTCAGCTCAGCCTCTGCGTGTGTATTTGTAGTTTTCATCCAAAGTCAACTGAGAGTGTTCTTAAAAAGAGCTTCTGTTGGTGATATACAATCACATGTTCTGAATTTCCTTGTCAACGTGCCCTGAAAATGTTTACTGTGTTCCATTTGAGGTTTTCATGTCGGAGGTTTAAATACAACCACCTTGTAAAATACTAAGTGAACATATTTGAAAGCAAGTTGATCTGACTTTACTTCTATCTGTAGTAAAACACTAAAACTAAATATAAAATATGAATCTATTACTGCTCGGATGTATTTACTACCATTCTGAATTTTATCAAGTTGCCTTTTTTATGTATTGGTGCCTTTTTGAAAGTGTATTCCTTCAGATTTCATCAGTTTTTGTCACATTAAAACTGCGTCCAATTTAAAATGTGTACGTATAATTGGTTAAAAACAAAATTTTTCGATAAAACTTTAATCTGAATAATTTATTTTCTCCATCAGGCATTTTTGCATAAAGGTTACTTCACCTCATTGAATCAATTCAGTAGAAATGGTGTTTCTATTATAAACATCATATTTAAGAGCATAGGCTTTTCTCTGTTGCAAATTTTGCTGGAAAATTGTTCAAGAAATTATTTCAATAAATTATAGTATTGTTATTTAGTATGAAACCAGTAGTCCCTCCACATCCAAGCTGTGCTGTTTGATTTTGAACCCATTTCCATCTATTTCACACAAAAAAGTCAACTAGCATTTCTCTCGGTTGCTACTCCCCAGTCACAAGGCTCTCATGCTGTAGTCGCTACGGTAAGGAAAAGATAAGGAACCTTTTTAGCAGACTTTAGTAGAACAAGGAAAACTAACAAACATGTAAACGTAAATTATTGAGCTCATTTAAAATGGTCATGTGATTAATTTACAGTAAAATGAAAGACAGGTTTGTTGTGACAGGCCAAAGTCTTAGTTGTAGTCAGACTTGGACCAGGCCACTCTGAGGCCTCGTCCGTGCCATCTAAGTCTCTGAAA